TTGCTCGATGATGTTTTTAGCGCCGTGGATGCTCATACAGGTTCAGATATATTTAAGGTGAAAACTGATAGAAAAATCTTGTTGTATTCACTTTAAAGAGGCAATACAAGTTAATTCTTGTTATTGTAATGTTTTTATAGAATTGTGTAAGAGGAGCTCTAAAAGGCAAGACCATATTGCTTGTAACCCATCAAGTGGACTTCTTGCACAACGTGGATTGCATCTTGGTAGGAAATTGATTTAAACTTTTATCTTATATTTGATTATAAGATACTTGAATTTGTTTAAACGAAATGGACTTTTAGGTGATGCGGGAGGGGATGATTGTTGAGTCTGGAAGATATGACGAGTTGGTCAACTCTGGTTTGGATTTTGAGGAACTCGTGACCGCACATAAGACATCAATGGAGCTAGTTGAAGCTAGTGCACACTTAACGGAAGAAAAACAAATCACAATCATCCCAATAACACCAAAGTCTCCTCACCTAAGTGACCTAAAAGATGAGCATTTCAAGTCATTGATTAGCTCTCACACACTTGAAGATGGCTCAAAGATCATCAAAGAAGAGGAAAAGGAAATCGGACAAGTCAGTCTTCGAGTTTACAAACATTATTTCACGGAGGCCTATGGCTGGTGGGGGATTGGGCTTGTGGTGTTCCTCTCTCTGACTTGGCAAGGTTCTTTAATGGCCAGCGATTACTGGATTGCATACGAAACATCAGCCAAGAATGCAATTTCATTTGACGAATCTGTTTTCATTCGTGTATACGTAATTATTACATTTGTCTCCATCATTTTAGTGTGCCTAAGGTCATATTACGTTACTCACCTAGGACTCAAGACATCTCAGATATTTTTCCGACAAATTCTTAACAGTATCTTACACGCTCCAATGTCGTTCTTCGACACCACGCCATCGGGAAGAATTCTTAGTCGGGTGAGATAATTTTTTTGCCTTTTAGTATGCTCTTACATAAAATTTTAGTAGATATATTAAAGGTTTTTCTCTTTCGACTTTTGCAGGCATCTACTGATCAAACTAATATTGATACTCTCATTCCCTTTATGCTCGGACTTGTGGCCTCAATGTACACAACTTTACTGAGCATTTTCATAATTACTTGCCAGTACACTTGGCCAACTATATTCTTTGTGATCCCCCTAGGATGGCTTAACATTTGGTACCGGGTAGGCGATCTCTTTAACTTCATAAGCTGATGTTTCTTCTCTTTGACGATGATGTTCTGAACGTCTCTTTGCTTTTGATATTCAGAATTATTACCTTGCTTCTTCCCGTGAATTAACACGCCTAGACTCTATCACTAAAGCTCCCATCATCCACCATTTCTCAGAAAGTATAGCTGGAGTGATGACAATCCGATCACTTAGAAAGCAAGAGTTGTTTAAGAAAGAAAATGTGAAGCGTGTCAACGCCAATTTGAGGATGGACTTCCACAACAATGGCTCCAACGAGTGGCTCGGGTTTCGACTAGAGCTTATTGGAAGTTGGGTGCTCTGCATCTCAGCTTTGTGTATGGTATTGTTACCTAGCAACGTTATCAGACCAGGTAAGGATCACTAAAACCAAATTTAAGTAGTTGAGTTCAGTATTGCTAAACATGGATTTTTTTTATACAGAGAACGTAGGGTTGTCCCTTTCTTATGGCCTGTCCCTAAACTCGGTTCTGTTTTGGGCTATATACATAAGCTGCTCTGTTGAGAACAAGATGGTTTCTGTCGAAAGGATCAAACAGTTTATTGATATTCCGTCTGAATCCGAGTGGGAGAGCAAAGGATACCTTCCACCATCAAATTGGCCCTCACATGGAAATGTACATCTCAAAGACCTCAAGGTGAATCATAAAAACTAAACAGCTTTGTTATGGAAAACTCACCTTTAGTATTCAATCTTGAGAAGGATGTGTATTTTAACAACAGGTGCGCTACAGACCGAACACTCCACTTGTCCTCAAGGGAATCACTCTAGAAATCAAAGGAGGAGAGAAGGTTGGTGTGGTCGGGCGAACGGGAAGCGGGAAATCGACATTGATCCAAGTCTTGTTCAGGCTTGTAGAACCGTCACAAGGAAATATAATCATAGACGGTATTGATATTCGAACTATAGGGCTGCATGATCTCAGGTCAAGATTCGGAATCATTCCGCAAGAACCTGTGCTCTTCGAAGGAACAGTGAGGAGCAACATTGATCCAACTGAGCAATACTCTGACCAAGAAATCTGGAAGGTGAGGATATTAATCTTGATCTCTAAGCTACAACCATTTTCCATATACAATAATCTTTAATTATTTTCCACTAATATTAGAGCCTTGAAAGATGCCAGCTTAAGGATCTTGTTTCTTCCAAGCCTGAAAAACTCGATTCTTTGGGTGAGTTCTGATGTCTCTATGTCTCTCTCTCCTATATATAGCGGTAGAAATTAGAAAGTAACTAATTGACTGGAACAGTGGTTGACAATGGGGAGAACTGGAGCGTAGGGCAAAGGCAACTTCTATGTTTAGGGAGGGTAATGCTGAAACAGAGCAGACTTTTGTTCCTAGATGAAGCAACGGCATCAGTTGATTCACAAACGGACGCCATGATCCAGAAGATCATCAGAAAAGACTTCGAGGCTTGCACCATAATCAGCATCGCCCACAGGATTCCTACAGTGATGGACAGTGATCGAGTCCTAGTGATAGACGCTGGTAAGAGAAACAAAACTAAACAAACAAACTTTGAGAGTTATAGTTGTTTTTCACACTTTTAAGAGAATCATTTTATGGCAATTTTGAATAGGGAAAGCAAAAGAGTTCGATAGCCCGGCTCGTTTACTGGAGAAGCAATCGATGTTCACCGCGCTGGTGCAAGAGTACGCACTCCGATCTACCGGAATATGAATCTTGGATGACGGCTGGATAGTTTGTATGTTGACATATTTAAATAATTTGAGTATCCAAAGATTGTACGTTGGGGAATTTCTTATGTTGTAATGTTTTAAACTTTGGGATTTTCAGAATCCTTTTACTTGTACTTGCTTCTATTTTAATGGAATAAAAACAAGTGTTTGTCCAAAAAAAAAAGAGTATCCAAAGATAAAACTCAATTTTAACCATCTAGCAGGTATCATCTTTATCTTACCATGACGTACTAATTAGTCGCAAACAATCTATAATGCTATTAAAACCCCAATATTTGGACATTGCATCAGGAAAATGTGTGTACTTATTTATTCGAAGGCCAATACTTAGGTTCATCTCTAAGGTAAACCTCTCTTATTCACCCTCTTTTAGTTAAATAATCAAAAGTTATCATGTAATTTAATTAAACAAAAAAATAATTAATATTATCTCAATAAAATAATTAAAATAAATCAACACAGTTTAATAAGATACAACTAAATTTTAAATTTTTTTTTTTTTGGTAGGAAACCGGGAGTACTCCCGGCTAATTAAATAAAAACATTATGCAAAAATAAAATTACATTCGAGTTAGTCGAGGACACGCAGGTCCCGACATATCCTCTCTCAAAAGAGACTCCATAGACTCTAGAGCCGAGCTAAAAGCATGAAATCCTAACGGTAGTGAAAACGCACAGTTAGCCAACCCATATGCAAGACAATTAGCTTCCCTATACACATGTGTAACACGAACAATCCAGTCCCTCGATAAAAAACCATGGCACAAACGTACCAGGAAAGACAAAGGGTGAGAGTCACCAATCCCCTTTAAGAAAACCAACCATTATTTCCGAATCCACCTCCAAAACAGCCCTCTCCAGACCACGATCCCAAGCAATGCAAAGCCCATAGTAAACTCCCCATAGTTCTGCTAAAGGTGCCGAACAACGACCAATATTCAACGCGAAACCCCCGCACCAAGTCCCATCTGGATCCCGAATTACCCCTCCAGCAGTAGCAAGTCCCGGATTTCCCCGAGACGCACCATCCGTATTAATCTTATACCACCCAAGAGATGGGGGTAACCATCGAATTAGGTTCTCCACCTTTTCAGCCCTTAGACCTGTATTCGCAGTATGGGCCGCAATAATTTCTTTAACATTGTCCTTAAGAAATTTAACTCGATCCCGCCATACTCATTTTTCACCAAAAACATCACTACACCTCCATTTCCAAGCCCACCAAGCTGCTAAAGCAAACAACGTCGACCAATGTCGAGTCGCGTCTTCCCCTCCTCCACATAAATTCTCATATAACCATGCAAATAAGCTCTGAGAAAAGAAAATGGACTGCTTCCTTCTCGGCACTATCCGCTTCCAAACACCAACCATAGCCGGACAATCCCGTAAGACATGCATGATCGTCTCAATGCCTCCTTTACAGATTGGACAAGCTCCGTTATCACTCAAGTGCCGTCGAACTCTCTCCGCATTTGTCATTATTACTTGACGGGAAACTAGCCATAAAAACACTCGCACCCTTTCCGGCGCCCTTACTTTCCACACTCCATCATAGAAAGACCTCATCTGTTGCTGCGTTGCTTCCTCCATAGTCAATCGAGCATACATTTTTAAAATCATTAACCCTTACATTTTTTAGTTATAGAATATAAATTCTAACCACTCTTTTATAAATCCAAACCGATATATAATTTGTTTAATTATAAATCTTAACCCTAACCATTATTTTATAAATCCAAACCGAAATATAGTTTTGTTTATTTATAAAATCTAAACCTTAACCACTCTTTTATAAATCTTTAACTTTTAAATTTTGATTCATTTTTAACTATAATATGACATGTCATATTGTTGTATTTTGATTGCCTAATTAAGAGAGGGTGGATAATAGTGGTTCATCACCCTTAGGGGTGAACACAAGTATTTTTTCAAGTTAAGGACTAAGTGTTAGAGTTGAAGTAAAGTATTAGAGTTGTTAGAGTGGAGTTGTTCTGTAAGCTTAAATTAAGGAGTTTATATGAGTATATCCAAGTGATCCAAATAAACAATGTAGTTGAGTAATGCTTTCTCTCTTCTCTCTTACTAAACGTTTGTGTACAAATAACAAGAGAGTAAAGAGAGAACAAGAGGTAATCTATATTCTGAAAGAGGAAAAGAAACAGAGAGATACTAAAGAGAGATGAGAGTGAAGTGTGAACCTCTTTCAGCCTCTCGGTTGCCACTTACTCGAGGAATTGGTTGCATAAACATAACCCGTTATAGCGTGGGCCGTCACTTGCTGAGGTTGGTTTTGCACTGGCACGTTAGCAGTTTTTCCCCCGGCCTTCCTCGACCTGCTTCCTCCAAAGTGAATTTTGGAGGATCTTGCTCCATTACCCTCCAAGTTCCTCCTCATTGTCATGGTCTCTTCTGTGTCATTAGCAAAATACACGTTATATTTATCTATATAGATCAAGCTTTTAATGATCTATGCTATATATAACAAATACAATAAAGGGAAAATGTAAATGAGCTAAAACAAACATATGTATAGGTCGAAAGGACTCACCGAGATTGGGGTGTTCGATTTGGGCAGCGAAAACGTTTCCATCTACTAAAAGGGAGAGTATGGTGCAAAGAAGAAAGAAAATGATGGAAGAAACTAAAGACGCGGCCATGTTAATTGTGAAGATGATGATGATCACTTACATTACATTTCGAGCATTTATAGAGCATAGAGGAGAGATCAAAGTTGAAGCTATGGACGATAACGTTGTCTTTGGGCTCAGCTTGTTGGTGTCTTAACTATGGTGTACTCGGTCAAAAGAGTAATGTGTATATAGGGACAACTTTGTATTTTTCTTTATTTTCCATTATTTTATAAATCTAATAAGTTATCACTACCAAAAAGAAAAAAATAACCGTTCCTAAAGACAGTCTATACGTACATGAAACTTAATAAGTCACTTTGAATATCTTTAAAAAAAAAAAAAAAACTAAATAAGTCACTGAGAAAACATGGTTAAAATTATCTTATTGTTTTAATTTGTGCCATCTTATACTTTTTTTCGTTAGCGATGGGGAAGCTTTGTATAATTTTTTTTTTTTGTTTCATGGGTTAGTTAATAGAAAAATTAATAAACTGATTTATTGGTTTATAGTTTATTTATACTAGTGTCGATGTCTATCTCCGATTATGTCCGTCTTGAGTTGACCCTCCTTCTTCTCAATCCGATTTTGGATTGGGAGTTTCCATTGCCATTTCTTTAGTTCCTTTCTCATAGACATCATTTGTTTCTGCCCCATCTGCGTCAATATTACACATGACACATTTAGTGTCAAACCTTCAATTTCAGTTATATAACAATACATTGAACATTTGAACCGCCGACAAAAAAAAACTATTCATTGAACTAATAAAGTAAGTAAATAGAAATACTCTCAAATAGCACCAAATTATGGACGATTATAACACATACTCCACAAATTTTCAAAAATAGAACTAATTGACATAATTACAAATTTTTAAATTTTCTTTCAAGGGTTTAAGATGACTATTGTACATTTCGGATATAGTTTTTAGGAGTATGATTTATTGTTTAGAGTTTATGAATTAATTTTAAAATTTTAGTTTTGATATATAGCGTTAATTATGGAAAGTAAGAGAATGTGTGACAGGTTTGGAAGAAAAACTAAAATTAATACTATTTTTGAGAATTGTCCGTAAAATAGTCAATGAGTCAACATAAGAAGAAGAAATAGATGGGAGAAATTACACACTAAGACATCGTAATAATACCGATGAGTGTGACTAAATTTATGAGAGTTGACTTAGTTTGTGTAGGTCATCGAAGTAAAGGTCTCCTTCTCTCAGATTTGTTTTCTTAATATTTAGATTGACTATTTTTACATTTAGGGTATAGTTTTAAGGAGGTAGGATTTTAGTATTTAGAGTTTATAATTTTTCTTTTAAAGTTTAATCTTGAAACGTAGTTAATTTTGAAAATTTATGAAGTGTTTGCTAAAGTTGGAAACAAAATTTGTTTTGGTGCTATTAATAACAATTGCCTTATATCTATTAGAAACAATCTCTAGCAAGCAAGTGCAAGAAACAGGTCGATCTTACCTCTCTATTCATTATCGGATATAATTTTTGCGAAGAATTGAACACAAAATTTAGGGTTCTAATTTAGATCTGCGGATAAGAGCGGATGGAGATTGTACGTTGATTTTTTTTAACAACAATAAATAAAACTTTTACTATAGAAAAAGGGAAAAACTAATTCAACCCTTCAACCAATCTTTTTTTATTTGGATGTTTCTTTATTCTAACGTCGGTCAATCACAATTGCTAGGGACCTAATAATCTATGCACAAGCACAACCAAACTTAATTATCAAGAAAATGATACTGTATATTGGCAAAAGCTTCTTTACTCTTTTTTTTTTTTACTTCGTGAGACCTTTGAAAGTGGACGAGGGGAGGAAGTTGCCTTCAAATAATTCAGCCTTTTCAACATAGAAAATTCTCCAAACGCAACGGTACTTGAATAAAACATTACTTCTTGAATCATCTCCAAACACATCAGAGTGTAAGGAAACTTCAAAACTCTTTACAAGAATTATTAGGATAGAGATATATGACATATATCTCTATCCTAATAAGAATCAAAACCATAATCAATCCCAATTTCATCATAACCAAAAAATGCTTCGAGAGCTCTTTTTAAGGGTCTTCACCATCAACCTCAAAGTATGCACACGCTCCAAAAGATGAAGTTGTTGATTACAAGGTCAAGTACAAGGAATTTCAAAACCTTTTGCAAGCTTTAAAGCCAAAAACCATCCCCTGTTTCATCATAGCGAAGTCTCAAAGGTCCTCAAAACTTCACTGGTGGAACACGCCCCAACCACTTTAACCAAAATTTTCACTGTGTCCAAAAAATCAATTTCTACTTTAGTGTCCAAAAGAAATTAATACACTAAACACAGTTAAAGCTATCATTTACAAGCTTTTGAAATCGGTGCCAACCTAGTCCACCTAAATTTGAAAACAATTTTAAGCCTGACTCGATCTAAGCTGGAAAATCTTTTTTTTTTGGGTTTATTATGTATCCTAACGATGTTTTGTTTACTGATGAAGACTTAGATGTTAAACCACTACAAAAAAAAAAATAGATTCCTAAGTTTAAGTGTGTGTTGAGTTGTTCAAATTAATAAAAGACGGTAACAAATTATATATATTAAATGTCATTTAGTAATAGTGATTATAACGGTGTATGCCTAGCTGTCCATTAATGGATAAATTAAGATAAATTTCTCATTATTTAATAAACAACCATACATATTTAGAAGTTATAGATTTATCACTCAAAGTCGAGATATAAAGTGATCGACCCGAGATTTATCTTCATGCCGTTGAACAAATTTAGATCTAACATTGACCTCATCCTCAGCAACCAAACCTTTAGCGATGTCTCGTAGCTTAAGTTTAAGGATCTTGCCATTTCTGTTTTTAGGCAGTTTTTCCAAAAATACCACTTTTCTTGGACACGTAAAATGTGGCAGATTATTACGGCAATACACTATCAAATCTGTCTCTTTGGTATCAGTCTCACCCCTCTGTAAAACAACAAACGCACACGGGGTTTCACCCCACGAACGGTGAGGCATGGCCACGACGGCAGCCTCAAGCACTTTTGGGTGCTTATAAAGAACATTCTCGACTTCAACACTGCTGATGTTTTCACCTCCCGATATGATTATGTCTTTGGACCGATCTTTGATCTCAATGTGTCCATCAGGATGAATCACACCTACATCTCCAGTGTTGAGCCATCCATGTTTAAATACTTCCAATGTAGCTTTGGGATTATTTAGATACCCTTTCATTATGCTGCTTCCTTTGATGACAATTTCTCCCATGGTCTTCCCATCGCGTGGGACACTTTCTTGAGTTTCTTTGTTCTTTACGTCAACTTCAGCTAGGCCTAAGGTACCTAGACCTTGCCTTGCTTTCAGCTCCATCTGTTGATTCTCTGGTAATCTGTTTAAATGAGTAGTAGGGTTGTCATATTAAACCTTAATAATATTGAATCAAGTTTGTAAGTTAGAAAATTCATTACTATTCAACTTTCTTTTGTTAGAAAAAATCATTGTTTTCGGTAAGTAAACTATTACTTTTGGAAAATGTTAATGAAATGTGAAAGCTAATATTGTATAAACAAGTTTAAAATTTTTATCCAAATAATGATAATTACCTGTTCCACTCGTCTTGCCACTCACAAAAGAGAACTGGACCAGCTTCCGTTAGTCCATAGGCATGCATCACTTGAAACCCCAACCGTTGAACTTTCTTCAGAAGAGCAGCAGGTGGTGGTGAGCCTCCAATCAGAACATGGACAAGCCAGGACCTTTGTGATAGGTCAAGTGGATTTTCTCGCAGGAGAATGTTGAAAACCGTAGGAACACAACACATATGTGTCACCCTATGCATTTCTATATTCTTATAGATCTCGGGGCCAGTAACATGTCTCATACAAACATTGGTCCCCCCACGCGCGGCTATTCCCCATGTACACATCCATCCATTGGAATGAAACATAGGGAGAGTCCAAAGGTAGACAGGGTATGCCCCCATTTCCCAAGCAATAATTGAGCTTAATGTGCTTAAATATGCTCCTCTATGGGTAATCACCGCACCTTTTGGGTCGGCTGTGGTACCCGATGTGTAGTTCAAGGATATAGGATCTTTTTCGTCTTTAATATGGAACATACGTGCCACCAACGAGGGTGTAGGCTCTCCTTTCTGGATGAGACCCTCATAGTCTAATTCCCCGGATGAAATCCTCTTAGGGACATCAACCTCGTCAATAAATATGACCGGCAAGTTCAGTTATGAGTCGTTACTTGATAGTAGATGGAGGATCTCTCGAGCCAAGGGCTCATAGGTGCGGTCAATGAATAAGATCTTAGGCTTGGCGTGGCGAATGATAGCGGCAATGGATGTTGCGTCCAGACGAGTGTTGATAGGGTTAAGGACAGCTCCAGCCATGGGAACGGCAAAGTGCATCTCATACATGGCCGGTATGTTTGGTGCAACAACGGATACCTAAATGCACAACACATAAGCCTCATTAATATATATGTAAGACATAATAAGAGAGAGAAAGAGAGACAGTGTGACATACCACATCGTTCTTGGCAATGTTAAGGGATATGAGAGAAGCGGCAAGACGACAGCAACGGTCATAAGTCTGAGGCCAAGTGAAACGAGTTTGTCCGTTTATTATCGAAGTTCGATTAGGATAACACTCGGAAGCTCTCTTCAAGAATGTTATGGGCGTTAGAGGGACGTTGTTTGCTTCACATAACACTAGATTATCCATCTTCTTATTTATTTTTCTCGTGTGTAATGAATGTTTGTGTGAGTGAAGACTGAAGAGAGATACACAATAGTTTGCCAATATATAGGAAAGTTATATATACATCTTTCTTATCAACATTTTTATGTGGATATGATTCAGAAGAACTCGAATAATTGATATACACAAGCCAAATAATTGTGTATTCGTCTTCTACTCAGTACAATAAATTTTGTTTGTTTCGTGGAATTTAAATCTAGATATGGTCACTGATATTTCGTATTTACCGTATTTGAATTTTACTATATGTCTTGTCCCTATTTAATAAGTGGTTAATGATTTAAATTCAATAAAATGAGCTT